ATAAGGCACCTACAAAAACACATGGAGGGAGTGGTGGGAGGGACTCTGGCTATACCTCTATTCCAAATGTACTATTGCTTAACAAGCCTTTCTGGGATACCTATTCTTGGAACACACCTTCAATTGTCTATACTTTGATCTTTCCTTAACTCATTCATTCATGCAGGTGGTGAATCAACATTTACTGAATATTTGACTCTGGAAGCTAATAGTCTATTGTGGGTGGCACCTCAAATGTAACTAATCATTTTTATTTGGGGGTTGATCTCATTTTAGAAAATAGTCAATTGTCATTTGCAGCTAAGTCTGAACACAGGTGGTCCAGCAGGGTGGGGACCAGTCACTGGGATAGAATTCTGTCACTGGCCCAGCCAACATCATGTTACATATGGGTGGTGCAGGCCTGCCCAGGAAGCAGCTCTTGGAAGGCAGAGGGAAACACTGGTGTCAGTGGGGAAGCTCTGATAGGTCTGTCTAGCTGTACTGGAACTCTTTGTGAGAGAGATGGAGATCCTGCTCAGAATACAAAAAAATAAAAATAAAAAAATAAATTACATCTTTCTAAAAACCCAGCAGGAGATGGGAGCTATTAAATGAAAGGTCTCAATAAACATGTTGTTAAGTGCCGTCGAGTTGGTTCCGAGCCATAGCGACCCTGTACAGGATTTCCGAGGGTGTAAATCTTTACGGGAGTAGAAAGCCTCATCTTTCTCCCGCGAAGCGGCTGGTAGGTTCGAACCGCTGTCTTTTTATATTAGCATTGTAGAGAAAGGATGGGAGAAGGAAGAGGACAAAAGAGGGAAAAGTGTGAGCAAATATAAGTGGACAAAGTGGTGTAAGATCGGACAGGACTTTGAAAGTGCTGCTGGGAGGGGCTGCGGGGTGGGAAGACTCACACCAGGAGCCAGTGGCTGCCCTCCAAGGAGGTTGTGACAGAGAGATCTTGGTAGTCAAGAGGTCCCCACAGCAGAAGACCAGAGTCAGCCTACAGACATCAGGACACCACTGAAAACATGAGGGAATTTGAGGTGTTAGTTGAGGAAATGACTTGCTATCTGGGATTTGTTTCAAAAGAGTTCATGAGTTGAATTCATGTTAAAGCTGGTGGTATGTACACGAGGGCACATATGCAAGTATTTCTACTTCGGGTTATGCTTGAAATAAACCATTAATAATAATAAACAAAAAGGTGGGTTTTTTTGTTTTTTTTTTTAAAAAAAAAGGAGCTATGGAGAAACCACACACTGTGAGTAGAATATTAGCAAAGCAGTCTAAACCATAGACTATTTGCAGAAATTAATGAGACCCATGTCTTTTTTTTTTTAAATAGCATTGCAAATCAGGGGTTCTTAACCAGGGGTTGAGGGGTGAGTTTAGGGGGTCCCTGCACTCCCTTAAAAAATAAAAAAGAGCAATTGGAGACTTTTTAGCAAGTTTTCAAGGAAACTATGACTCTCTCCCTGGAGGTTAATAAATTATATTCTCTCTTAAATGTGTTATGCATACATTGGTTCCAGGGTGTGTGGGTTTATTTTATATAACTGAAATACTCACAGCTGGCCCCCTGTGCTTTCAGGTCTCCTCTCAGTCAACCATGCAAAACTGGCTGGTCCAGCTGCTTCAGTGGAGGCAAGGAAAGGTACTCCCCAAAGAGAAGTAGACAAAGTATAGAGGACACTAAGAAATAAGAGAGGCTTGGGGAGGTCGATTGGGGAATCTTTCTAGGAGGCTCCCTGGGGTTCCCTTCTTGGGGTCTCTGAGAGTAACATGAGGAGGTTTTTTTCCTCTGGCAGATTCACTGTCTTTAAGCTGCAAACATCTAACAGAGACCATGGTTTTAAATATTTTGAGGCTCAAAAGTCTAGAGAGCTCACTCATTCCCCAGAAAAGCCTTTCTTAGGAAAAAACCTTTCTCTCCATTGCTCATAGAGTAGCATAACACTCTGCCTGAATAAAGCTTAGTCATTTGAGGAGAATTCCTGCAAGAATTCAAGTTCCCTACAAGCTCCCCAGAAGGGGCAGACTAGGTGTACCCCTCACCCACCTTACTAGGTGGCCAGGGGAAAGCAGAGTTAGTTTAGGGAGTGATGGGAGTTTTATCAGTCCCTTTCCCTCAGAACCATCTTCATACTTAGGACTGCTTGAAGGCTGGCCCTCATTTGGTCTTTTCTCCTCAGGCACCACACTGGTGTCAGGAACATAGAATTAGATTCTTGGTGCTGGGAAGAGAAAGAGGAGGAGGATGGAGCACTGGGTCCAGATATTGCTTTGGAGCTCTGAGGGCTGTTCTTCTCTACCAATTGACTTTTAGGGACCACTTTCCCCTCTCTCATGGAGGAGGGAACAGGCAGAAGACTGTCTCCAAGTGTTGTTTACTCCCCATAAGTCATCTGAAACCACATAGTTTCCTTGACCTTCACCTGGTAGTCCCTGTGTTCTGAGTGCTGGAGGAAAACTTTTAGTGGGAGTCTGCCATTCCTAGACCACGCAGCAGAGCTAAAGGCTAGGGTGGGGATGAGGGTGAGATGAGGCAGAGAAAACGGGCTTGTCCACAATCAAGTCTGATGTGGCTGGTGTATATCTGTCTGGGCTTTCACCTCAGGACTGCTCCTCCTCAGCCACCTCCTCTCCCCCAAGTCTCAAGACTTACCTGTTTCAGAAAGACCCCCCCACCACACACATACCCACACAGACACCGCCCTTTTTAAACCTTCCCTGGCCTTTAGCATTTGGACATATCTCTCTGCCCCATGTCTATGTGTGGAATGAACAACCCTACCAGAAACTCCCCAGAGGTGAATCCCATCTCCTCCTTCTGTACCATCACCCCTGCCTCCCAGAACCCTGACTCCAAGGGCACAGGAAACATTTCTTAATTTTCCATCTATGCATATTGTCAAAGTGATAGAAAATGCAGGATCAGGGGCACAATGCTCAATGGCAAGTTTTAATTTGCATCCTTCTGCTTCTTCCTCTTGTGGTCCCTGCTCTCCACCCACTACTTTCATCCTCACTGCCTCACAGTGCTTCATCTCCTCCCCCTCCCCCAATTCTTGGTTTGCCTTCATGCCAGGCAACTTCAGTTTCCTCCTGTCTGGGAGGAAAGGGTGAATTTCTGTTGAGTTTGGGCACTGTGGCTATTCCTACCTAGGAACCCAAAAGAATGGACCTGCAATAGGGATTTTCAGCCAAGAGAGATTTTTGTTTTGTTTTTAGGGTGGAATAGGACCTCTAAAGAGGCTTGGAGTGTAGTAGATAAATTCCATAAAGAGCCGTATCTAAGCTCATCTCCAATGGATGAACCTTGGGGTGAAAGAGGCCCAGCTCAAACCTGGGTGCACAGACCACTGAAGAAGAGTCTTATTTTTTTTAAACTGTGCTTTATTTAGGGCTAAGCTGGAGAAAGCGTCATCCAATAAGTTACAGAAGGTTACAAGGAGTTTTAGGGAATTGAGTGTGAAAAGAGCAGTTGTACTGAACTGCAGCTGTTATTTTTTTGTTGTTGTTTTTACATCTGGACATCCTAAAACGAGGAGTCAAGAGAAGAAGAAAAAAAGAAAGAAAAAATTAAAAATAATAATAAGCCAACAAAATAGACGGAAAGAAAGAAAAGGCAGGAGCTGAGAGGAACCCAAGATTTGTTTATCTAAAGCAAAAAAAAGTCCAAAAAAAAAAAGTCGGTCCCCAGCCCCTCAGCCTCCAGATGACTTGGACATTAGTGAGCCGGCATCAAGACGGAGTGCCAAAGCAAGTCTTCCCAACGGTGCAAATAAATTATAATAAATATGTTATACTTTAAAATATATGTGTTCTTAAATAATTCAGTGTTTTTATCTGATTCTGAGATTTTTTAAGCAATGTCTTTTTTTTAACTGCTCTAAAGTCATTTACCAAAGATAAATATCGTGCTTTCATTAAATAGTTTTCCTTGATTTTTTTTCTCTATCATTACAATTAAAAGTCCTACAAAATATGCAAATTTATTTACAGAAAAACAGAGCCGGCATCATTTAAACATCCCTGTTTTTCAAAATTCCTTGTAAACAGTTTCAGAAATTCTTCAAAGATTGTTATTTCTCTCTCTCTCTCTCTCTCTCTCTCTTTTTTAAGGTTTTTGTGTGTGTGTGTGTTATTTTGAGATGAAAGTTCCCAGTTCTCCCTTGCCCGGAAAGTCTCTGGTGCAAGCATGGAAGGCGAGTGAAGCGGAAGGTGTCAAGGGCTTGCGGAGAGCCAGCGAGCGCGCACAGCTCCCGGAGCGAAGCGAGAGGCGAGGCGAGGCGAGGCGAGGGCGACGGGCGAGCGGGCCGAGGAGGCGGCAGTGACGCGGTCCGGGCAAGGCCCTTACGTGCTGATGGCGCGGCCTCCAACGGTGATGGGCAGCCAGGAGCCCGCAGGTCTGGGGCGAGTCCGGCCTGGCCTCAGGGACAACGGAGTCCGACAGCACTCGCGGGGAGAAAGGATTGATGCTCAGTCTAAATTCTACAAAAGTACAGTCCTACAACATCTGGGATTTTAGCAGTAACGCTAACTTCTATAGGTTTTTTTTTTTTTTTTTTTTTTTTTTCTTGCTGTCCTCTAATTTTCTATTATATAAGTATTTTAAACTTTTTTTTTTTCCTTTTTAAAATTCTGTACAGCTATTATGATTTTAAGAGGGGGAAAGAATTAGAAGCATTTACAAACTTTTCACAACAATGATCTTGCCTTGGAAGTCCCTTTTTCCCCTCTTTGTTTTCTCACACTTCACAGTTAATGAATTTTCGTATTTTTGTTGCTTTCCCCCAAATATCCACCATTGTGTTCATCTTAACAGCTCCATCCAGACATATAATACAGAAAACCATAGGAAAGTGTCAGAGACTTGAATGAGGGTAATCAAAGCGCCTCTCAAAGTATCAAAGAACTAGTATCTTGCTGTTTTAAAAGCATTGAAGCATTGTTTTGCCTTTTTTTTTTTTTTTTTTTTTTTTTTTTTTTTTTTTTTTTTTTTTTTTTTTTTTTTTTTTATTACATTTTTCATAGAATCGCTCTGAGCTGTTGTTTCAAGAACAGCCAGGAGGCAGGAAGGAGGTCCTCCTCCATTCCCCCTCTATTTGACATAGAGCTACACATCTGCAATAAAAAGTTTGGTCCTTTGGTCCCTAAATAGCTAAAGGAATGACAGAGATGCTCAGTGGCGGCCTCCCAGCCGCACCCTGGGGACCAAGCCCCGCCACACCGCTAGCCCCAGCCTGCCTCAAGGCGCCCATGGGCTGGAAAAGCCCCGGGGATCGGTAAGCAGCGTCTCTTCCCAGTTCCCAGCCCTTCAGCCTCCCCGTCTGGTTTCATGTTTTGTTTTTAAAGTTGCCTTTTTTGTAGTTTTTTGTTGTTGTTGTTGTTTGTTTTTCTCAGTTATCTTCATCTTCTTCAAGTCATATGTATTTTTCCCCAAACACGTGCCCTCTGAACTCCATAGACGCTATACTTTCCTTGAAGAAATGTTACAGTCACGCAAAGTGTCTGGAGTCTTCAGCTTGATTGATATTGGCTGATATGTCAAAGGTGTCATCCAACAGTTCTCATTTATAAATATATATAGAGAGAGGTTTGTTTTTTAATGTAGCCCGTTCAGCATCCTGCCCTAAAATGAAGAAAATCAGTGCTGATTAAGCCAAGAGGGGAACAACAAAATGAATGCAAACACCAAAAGGAACCTCCCTGGGGGGTTAGGATGGGAGCTCTGGGGGATGGTGGGAGGGAGGGAGAGAGACCGGTATGATAATTAGTCATGATCATGATAAATTAAAAAAGAAATTCACTCTTCTGTTCAGAAACCACTGGGCAGGCTAGTGGTGATGATTATAGTTGTTGAAGGGTCTGGATTTGGGTTCTGGATTGGGGCATGACTGTATCTAAGGGAAGAATTTGGGACTGCAGGGTAGAAATTCATAATTAACTTGTCTCTGAGGGACCTAGCCCAGATACAATATGTATACAGAAGCCTAGCAAACAAGATAGCAAAAAGCTAGCAACCCAACCCATTCCTCCCCCGACTTGAAGAAAAGAAGAAAACAGACTGTAACATAAATTTTGTAGAATCCTTGCCCAACTTCCAGCCAACTGCTTCTTTCCTGAGGTCAGTAACTATTTGCGAGGCTATGTATAAATATGTATATCTGGATATATGTGTAGAATATATTCAACTGCACATATGTGGATATACATGGATATGTGTGTATGTATATGCACATATATATGTATACATATACATATATATATACACACACACGCATACACATAATATTTTTCTCACCCATGCCAGGGAATTTAGGCAAAATTCAGAATTTCAAGGGAGTGGATGGGAGAACCTAAAAGAAGTTAGAACAGATTTAATCATCCAACTTTAAGAAATGAACTCAGTTCTGTTTTGTTTTGACGGGTGGTTTTTTTGGTGTTTTGTTTTGCTTTTTAAAGAAAATCATGATCTGACTAGAATCAGAAGGAGAATGCTTAATCATTGTGAATTAACAAATGAGACTCAGCTCCATTCTAGCAAGCAGCTTCCACTTATACATGGGGGTGACTGGTTACATCAAGAGAGTTAGAACTGCAAAGCCCCCAGTTGAGGGGACAACGTCATGCGTATATCAATCCATGCTGGCAGGTTTTTCACACTGTTGATTCAACAAACAGCAAACCGTACACAGCAGTCTAAACAATTACAACACCAAATAAAATAATAATAAAATTAAAAAACACTTGTCAAGGACCCTTTTTCAGTTGTAAACAAAAAGGTGCATTTGGCTTTTGCCAGTACTATTTTTTTCCAAACCAACCAAAAAACCCTCCCAACCCCCAGCCCTTTACCTCCCCTCCCCACGTGTAATTTAGCAGAAGTGGCTACAATACAAACCTTACAATTGTTACCGGGCTCTCTCTCAGAGGCCTCTGGTTTTGTATTCTAGTATTTTTGGTTTAGAATTTTTCTCATTCTGTTACTGTAGATTTTTTTTTTTTTTTTTTTGGTTTTGTTTTTCTTTTTCAAGTGAGATTTAAAATAGCCTAACTGGAAAATGACCAGACCTAGGAAAGTGTCAATTGAAAAAGGCCCCCAATTTTCTAGAAAAAAAATAAAATCACAATATTTTCAAGTGCAAGTAAATCAACCACGCATAGATATTTTATAAGATGTTTTCCTTATTTTAAGAAAAAAAAATAATAATAATGGTTTGCACAGTTAATGATCCCATGTTTGATAATTCAGGAATTCATCTTTACTTTTACTATAT